AACCGTCGCGTCTAAAACAACAAGAGTGCGTGCGTGCGTTGCAGCGCCCACCCGGCTGGTGAGGACCGTAGGCCTGAGTCGATCTCGTGGAAGAACGAGGCTGCTATGCCGCATTGATTGATTGATGGTAGCGCGCTGAGCATGCGGCGTTTAACACGCGAATGCTGCTTCTGGTGTATGCGAGGCAGCAGCCCTCGTCGCTTCACTAGTATAGGCTTCACCCAAGTCCTAGAAAACTATAGCTATCGCTGGCCTTATAGAACTATAGGCTATCGATCGGCTTATAGAACTTATAGCATTCGAGGCTTATAGAACTATAGCCTATCGATGCTTTATAATAACTATAGCTATTCGATTGGTTTATGTGTATGCGGACATGCTGACTGTGTGGTTATTGTATGCTCTGCGAATAAGTCATGAGCCGCATGCTGCGAGACTCCGCCACAGGCAGCAATCGCCTCGCTGGTGCCTGTGGCGCCGCTCTGTCACTGCCGGAACAGCCGAGGTGTTGCGGGGTGTTGCTAGGTTTACTGTTCCTGCGGGGACGCAATCGTCTACACGTTGCCACGGGCGCAGCTGAAGCCAGCCGGCTGGCGGGCGTATTGCCCGTGTAACGACAAGAGATGTTCGCCTGTGTTTTTTTTTTACGGCGAAGTATAGGAGAAACGCGTGTCTAACCTTTCGTTCTCGTCGTTTGTTTTTCGTGGCAGGCAGATGGCAGGCACGGTCGATCCTGACACGCTGCGGGTCGTGCAGATGGCCGACTCGCACGACGAGTACACTGAGGTCATCGACATCTTCTACAGATCTCTCCTACGACCCAGGTAGGCACCACACACCTATGTGTACGTGTGTGTGTTCGTGTGCGTGCGTGTGCGCCGCGCGTGTGTGTGTATGTTCGTGTGTGTGTGCGTGCGTGCTCAGTGCAGTGTGTGTGTGTGTGCGCGCGCCCAGTGTGTTCGTGTGTGTGGTGTGCGTGCATCGCGTGTGTGCGTGTGCGCGCTGGCGTGTGTGTGGTGTGTGGTGTGTTCGTGTGTGTGTGCGTGCGTGCTGTGCCGTGCGTGCGGCGCGTGGGCGTGCGTCGCGTGCTCGTGTGCTTGCAGTGTAGTTATTATGGCCCTAGGTGATCATGGTGGCGCCACCTTCCCACGCTCCGTGCGCACGCTCTATTACTGGTTTCTCCATTGGCAGACACTCCCCTCCCCCCCACGATATAGGCGAGACGATTGGCTTCACCGCTCCGCCGCCGCCACGGCGGATCGTCGTCGCTCGACCGAAGCTGAGACGGAAAGCCCGCGCGCAGCCTCCGCGCGTTGCCACGCGATCGATGCGGCCGTCGTTCGCGGACATCAATTAGCTTCATCTGTTATTATGCGCGCTATCAATAAGGTTCACAGGTCGCGCGAGAATCTCGCGACGACGACGAGTGGAGAGACGCGTGCCCGGCGACGCGCGGGTCAGCAGAGGGGCGCTGACCCGTGGGCCTGCACGCGTATTGATCGGCGCGCGCGGTGTTGACTGCGTTAACTGCCACCGTGCGCCGTGTTAACAGCCGGCCACATCGATCGTTGAGAGG